ACCTAACAACCGCAAGGCTCGTTTGCCGTACCGCTGAGGATTTGGAAAGCCCTCTCGATCTCACGCACTCGTATCTTCGCGCCATGTCCCCAATTCATCTCAAATATCTCGCGAACATGGCCGTAAGATCGTCAATGTCCATCTCCATCAACGCATTCAATGAGCTGTGGGGTCTCATTGCCTGCCATTCGTACGGGCCTCGCGGCATGCGCGTATCTTTTCCTATTCGAAAGATGTGTCGCATGGTCGGCGACGCAGCATCGAGAAACATCGAAAGATTATCGTATGCGTCAAGACTACAGGCCAGGAAACTCATCAATACTGTACCAACACAACATAACCCCTCCGGATACATCATCGCCTCCTCTGATGATCTCTTGAAACTGTTCGATGCCGACTTTGGTTTACTCTCGATCCGTGACGAGACAAAGATACTTGGCGTTCTAGAAAACTCGCAAGAAGCACTTGCCATGTTAGAGTATCTCAGGATGAGGAAAATACAATCGGTCATGACTTCCATAGATATCATCTCGGACTTCCCCGATCTGCGATACCCGCCCGGTTTCCATGTCATAGCAGGCATGCTAATCGTTCCTTTGTCGGTGGATGGCGAGGACTTTATCGTTTTCTTCAGGAAAGGACAACTGAAGGAGGTGAAATGGGCCGGCAACCCATACGAAAAGTTCATCAAAGAGGGCACCGAGGGTTACTTAGAGCCAAGAAAGAGTTTCAAAACGTGGTCCGAGACCGTCGTTGGAAAGTGCCGTGAATGGACGGAAGAAGAGATTGAGACCGCCTCAGTGCTATGTTTGGTATACGGAAAGTTCATCGAAGTTTGGAGGCAAAAAGAAGCTGCGCTGCAGAGTAGTCAGCTGACCCGGTTATTGCTGGCAAACTCGGCGCATGAAGTTCGCACCCCACTGAATGCAATTATCAACTACCTCGAAATAGCACTGGAAGGAGCCCTGGACACTGAAACCCGGGAAAACCTTTCGAGATCGCACTCGGCGTCGAAATCACTCATCTACGTAATCAACGACCTACTGGACCTGACCAAGACGGAGGAAGGCGGACCACTCATTAAGGGCGAGTCGTTCGACTTCCGGGAAACAATCAAGGATGCCACCGACATGTTCAAGAACGACGCCAAACGGAAGAACATATCTTACGAAGTTATCGAACACCCGGGTTTGCCTACTTTGTGTATCGGAGATCAACGCCGAGTCCGTCAGGCCATCTCCAATATCACTGCGAACGCCATACAGAACACTACCCAAGGTAGCGTCACTGTGGAGGTTTATGTCGCAGCAAGGCCCAGCAGAGATCATGTCGAGGTTGAAGTGGCAGTGGCCGACACGGGTGTTGGTATGAGCCAGAAGAAGCTTGATCAGCTCTTCTATGACTTGGAGCAAGTTCAGTCTGAGCCTGCATCTATGCTGGAGGATGCGCTGGTACCTGACAAAAACCAAATTGCCGAGCAAGGTAAGAAGTCAACGTTGGGTCTCGGTCTGGCCGTCGTTGGCCGCATCATCAGGAACATGAACGGACAATTGAGGCTTCGATCCGAAGAGGGCAAAGGCACGAAGTTCGTCGTACAATTTCCGTTCGACCTTCCAGACGCCGAGATAGAAGCCGTGACAACGGCAGAGGCTTCGCCAGCTGGTAGCATCACACCCCAACCGGACAGTACCTTATCGAGCATCCTGCCTGGCACTGATGAAGGCGAGCGGACTCTCATTGCCCCAAGCCTATCGCGCCACACCTCCGACAGCGAGAGGAAGAGTAGCTCGAGTGGTAGTGGTGGGGCGAGTGGTGTGGTCATTCGAAGATCTAGTGCGGAGAGCCTGACGAGCAAGACTAGTCTACGCAGCTTCAAGAGCGGGTCGAGTCAGAGGAGTGATGTGGACAGACTTATCGACGCGATACAAGAGCCGCACATGATCGGCAGAGGCGATGCAAGCCCAAGCGCACACTCTCTGAGACCGACCCTAACGAAACGCAATAGTCTTGATCCCGGCGCCGCACGCATGAGGTCTAGGAGCCTCGAATACATCAGCAGCCAGCCTATTGTACCTCCACAGCAGAGAAGCATGCAGTCCAATCACGCAGGCGAAGTTACCGTACCTGGCTCGGGTGCCCCAATCACGGCCTTGAAGATGCCTGATGAAGGCGGCGATAGTCCGGTAGATCCTCGGCCCAAGCCTGGGAGTGTCCTCGGAGAGGTACAGGGCGACACACCAATACAACCGTCTGCGGAACCAGAGAAGCTGACTTCGGATCACATGCGCGTACTCGTTGCTGAGGACGACCCCGTGAACAGTCGGATTGTCAAAAAGCGATTAGAAAAGCTCGGACATGAGGTCCACCTCACCGTCAATGGTGAAGAATGTTCGTCGGCATACTGCGACAACTCACGAGACATTGATGTTGTCTTGATGGATATGCAGGTCAGTAGAGTATTCTTGAAGATCTGCCCTGTTTACTGACATTATTGAAGATGCCAATCGTCGACGGACTTACCTCAACCAAGATGATAAGATCGTTCGAAAAGCTACACACCGACATCTACTCAGCCCGAGCTGCCCTCTGCGGCCGCGTCCCCATCATTGCAGTCTCAGCCTCTCTGATCGAGCGCGACCGCCAACGCTACATCGACGCTGGATTCGATGCATGGATCCTGAAGCCCATCTCTTTCGATCGGCTCAACAAACTCATGGCTGCTATCGTCGACACAGACATTCGCCATGACTGCCTCTACCAACCCGGAGAATGGGAGAAGGGTGGCTGGTTCCACGGGGGCAAACACAGTGCCGACGAGGCCAACACCAAGCCATCAGGCGAAGCGCCAATGCCCAACCCTTCGGAAGAGGTCGACGAAGCGGTCATGCGGTCAGAAGAACCAATGGCTGGAGAGGAGAACGAACAAGGCGATATTCCCGACGAACAAGCACGGCTCTTGCAAAATCAGGAGGAGGGAAAGACGGAGCCACCACCGGATGACGCCTCCAAAGATCCAGCATGAAGCAATCGAGATGTGTATTATTGATCATGGGGTCTGTCATTACCCTAGTCGACTCACCTTGCTCTCGGTATAGCTAGTAGATACCACCTGTCGCGTCTAGTCAGCTATCTGCGCCCACGCCGAACACCACCACAGCCTTACTTTCTTTCAGCGCCTCACGACCTCAACCCTAGTTCACTGGTCATGCGCATACCCTTTAACCGTATACATATAAATTTTTCTCCAAGTTTCACCACTCGATTCCGGCGGCATAGTTGGTTGTTGGCAACAGGGCCCTCGCAAGCATTGGAAAGGGGTTTTTGGGTTTTATGTTCTTCTTATCCCAGGTCGTTGGTCCCAATATTAGACGTTAGAATGTCTGCGTCGAGTTTCTTGGATGTCACGCGCGTATGATGATGAGAAGAGGAGTCGTTGTTTTTTGTGCTGCTGCTGTACGACAGCTGGAATGATACGGGATTTTGTCGTGTCTGAGGAATGGGGAAAGGGGAAAGAAAAGGGAAGGAGGGAAAGGGGCTAGAGTAGGATAGGTGCGAAGTTCAATTGATGGACACAAAAACATGAGATGTTGCTGTGTCTGTATACGTGTGTTTGTGTCTTGCGTGCGATATGTCTTGTTCGATGAGAAGCAGATGACGCGATGGGGGCATTGGAAAGCCTCATCTCTCAATTCTTGCTGTTCTCATGCCTAGGTCATCCTTGCGAGTAAAGCCGTCTTACTGCAATCTCTCATGAATGTTGAAACAGTTTCTACGAATTGAAGCTTTGTTGACATTGTTTGCCGCAGCGAAGAGCAGAGCTATGCTAGGTGTGGGAGCAACAGTCGGCTATCATCTTCAATAGAACACACAGGATGAGGTACCATCACGATACTTTCTTTTAGCTTTCACGACTTTCTTACACAATCAGAGAATATAATAATCTGTGCACATTTACGTGAAAATATAATGACTATGCAATTCTCTACAAACAAATCTTGTCTTGAAACCATAGAATTACACCTAAGAATACATCTTTCTCAAATCAGTCTCGCTGTTAGTAGATATTGGATCTTCTCGCGATCATTTCTTCATACGGAGCTCGTGTGCATACATATCCTCGAAGCGCCCGTCGTGATCGTAAACACGAGACTGCTTGCAATAAGTAGTCATGTAATCTCAAAGCAGTATTGAAGAAGTAGGATCGAGAAGTAGAATTGAGAAGTGGAATTGAGAAGTAGGATCGATGAGTAGGATCAATAAGTAGGATCGATAAGTAGGATCGATAAGTAGGATCGAGAAGTAATATTAGAAAGCGTTCTGAAGAAGTAGTATTGACAGGTAGAATTAAGATAGGTGATAAAGATGTGTAATTAAGAAGTCTGTTTTTTAGCTTTGTCTCCAACCCAGAACTTCCAGTTAGTAGCCTTGAGGCTTCGATGACGATAGAGAGTGAGAGTGAGACGAGTAACTTCTTGCTCTTTCCATTTTCGTCTCGCTCTTCGAGCTTTGTCGGGTTTGTAATGCTTGGCATTTGAGTAAAGGACGCTACGGTGTTTACTGCATTCCAGGGCTCCTGCCTTACACTTACTCCTTCTACTTTCAAATCTCGTTAACCCCACCAACAAGTACAAGCATGACACACCCAAAAGTGCCGGACTGGCAGGCGCACTGGCCGAGGTTCCAGCCTTACACCAGGACCTTGAGGGCCTTTGAGGATGCAGAAGCGCTCTTCCACAACGGTGACAGAGACGGTTGTGTGGAAGCAATTGGAAAAATCTCGTGGTAAGTGTTATTAGTCATAGATCTGAGAATCGCAATACTAATCACCTCAGCGACCCAACGATTCCATCATACTTCCACCTCAGGTCTTGCATACTTTTCATCACCATCGAGGATAACTGGGAGGACGCGGATTTCTGGAGACGCGAAGCCGAATTGTTTACAACGTTATCTTACGACGTGAATTTCAGCTCAAGGGCAAATATGCGCCCCGTTGGCTCATGGATATACGTGACGAGCTTGACCAGTGGGCTGAGCAGAGACGTCAAGATCTTATGAAGTCGGTGTTTGGTGGAGGAGAGGAAGAGGACGACTTCGACTACGAGATCAAGGATGAGGATGGTGATGAAGACGAGGACATGGAGGACGACAGTGAAGAAATCGACGTGAAGATTGAGGGCTTCGAGCAGGGCGACCGCACCGAGGACATAGAAGAAGATCCCCGCAACACTCAGCCGCCGACCACACATCGTTCTCCAATCCGCGACCCTAGAACTTCTACAGCAGCAGGTAGACCCCCCACATTCCCCTCATGGTTCTTAGGATTCGAAGTACGTTCCACTGCGACGTCGCCTGCGCCGAGCAAAGTAGTCAAAACACCCACAGGCTCTGTATCACGAAGCAACCCGTTCGCAGTTTGCGGAAGGGGTGAGCGCAAGCTTTGGTGGTGCTCCAAGTGTCGATCCCTACACCGGGTCGTTGAGTGAGAGCAGTGCAAGATTGCTGTGCCACAGTTGCATTGACTGGGGTGATGAGGGCGGCACGGACAAGGAGCGCATGCAAACATGAAGACTGATGAGATAAGGAATGCGCGTTGTACATGCATCCCAGGCATACAAATGCATGACTAGTCTAATAATGCCTAAGGTTGATTATTGATGATGTTCTTGACAGGTTTGTATACAGTGTAGATTCTAACCTGATTACTATACCTCATGCTTGCGAAGTCCGTAACCCCCACGAATCCATCTATTTGGAAAAGACAGCAAGGAGTCGAGCAAGCCTCATTTCTGTCGACATGCATGATCATGATGCTTATTCAAGAAGCAAAGTCTTCGCAGAATGCCAAGCCTGAGCGCGATGCGGGTTGAATGTGTAGAAGGCTTGTGTTTACCGTGTTGCTGTGAGGCATCTTGAACAGACGCGCCGTTACATCGCGTCGACTACAGATGCGTGTGGTGTTGATGTAAAAGCGTGCCGACAACCGAACGTTGAAGCCATGACATCGAAGAAGCAAAAATAGCACGACCAACAGCATGTTTGACGGTGATCGTCATAGCTCACGATGTGGCTGTTTCGGGCTTCTTCACAGATGAATCCAGACTCGAAGAGCGCCGGAGAGCTGACATAGATCGACAGACTCGTATCATTTCACGTGGCGTGTGTTAGCCTTGCGCAGTTTTGTGGCGGGCTGATCAAACCCCTAGATGCTCAGAGGAGCGTTGTTGTGCACGGGGGCAAGTGCCGTGGCCGGGTGCGTTAGAAGAACGGGAGATGGGCCGTTGCCGCGGCGCTCGGGGTATGCTGGCTCTTGTTGCATGACCATTACTCGTCGACTCGTAAAGCGGGAGTGAGTTGTTCGTGCAACGTTGGTTTTGGAGCGTCTAGGCGAGCCTGGTCGGAGTTGTTGAGCGATGCCGTGCTCCTTGCCTTGACATTTCATGTTCTTGCCCAGGTGGATTAGTATTTGTTGGCGCATGACTTCCTGCTGTCTCGCGTGCTTTGGGCTGGCAGGTTGGATGCTGTATCACGGCGACCTGCATGTGGGAGAGGAGACGTGCGTGGCGTGTTTCATGAGGGTGAAGGTTGAGGCTATCGTGACGCTGTGCTCTGCGGCCGGAGTCGTAGCGACAGATAGCGCGATGTGGGGGGAAAGAGGCTGTCTCGGAGCTCGGGCGCTGCCTTGCATGGCATTACCAGTCGATTTACAAAACGCGTCTGCCCTGCAGTGATGCTTCCATGGTGAGGTAATGATCGCGCGTATTGCCCGGGAGACGCGATAGGGTGCGTGGTGTTTTTGGGCATCGGTGTTGGTAGCAGGTACCGAGCATGTGAAGATGCGACGCCGGGAAGAGCCGCACGTCGACCAAGAGCAGGAGCGTCTACCAGGGAAGGCGCGATGGGATGGCAGGTATAAGAATAGACTTTACGGCGTGGCTGGTGTTGGGTCGGGGTCGCTGTCAATGGGGCAAATTCAGTCCTCGACGCCATATGGAGAATTCATTGCACGGAGATGAATGCGAAGAGAATAGACAAGACATCGACTTGTAATGTACTATGTAGACGTCGACGTGACATGAGCTACTGCATATCGCCACACCTTCTTTGGGCGTCAAATGCGGGCGCGCATGAGTCGGCGGGCTGCGTCGCAACGGGCAGAGGACGGGCTTCAGTCAGCGGCGGCAGGCCGTTGAGAAATTAGAGGAAACACGTCCTGAAACAGACGTATTCGGAGTCTAGTGGAGGTATAGCTGGGCTGGTGGAGATTAGGTGGTAGAGTCGCTAGCTAGGACTTGAGCACGGCAAAACCAGCCCTGGAGAGTCGGCCAGATCCATCTGTGCTTCTGCTGCGATCACTTCTGTCTGTACCTGTTTCTGCCGTGCATCCCCTCTCCACGTATCCAGCGACAGCGAGCTTCCCACGGCGCCGCCCATCCTCTCTCTTCTCCCCTTCCGGCCTGGCCCCCCTCGGCTGCGCAGGCTCGAGGTGTGACGTTGACTAGGACACTCTGCAGGCCCGCAATGGACGACAAGTCATCAACGCGGCCCACGAGGCTGACCAAGAGAGGGCCGTCGAAAGAGCGAGGCCCGCCAATAGCCTATTTGAACAAGGGCCCGACGACGCTGAAGCGTGCGCCGAGTGCGTGGTGTTCCTGTGTTCCTACCGTGCCTGCGATACTGACCTTACTCCATAGGCGCCGCCTCTTACTTCCAGCCGAATCTTGGCGTAGCACCTGCAGCATCCTCGTCGCAGTCGCCAGCGCGAGGCCTCTCCCGCTCGCCCTCGCACACCCTGCGCCCAGTCTACGAGCCCCCCAACCCGCATGCCTATGACCTGCAACCCGTCCACGTCGGCCAGCCCTTCGACCGCATCGTCGAGGAAGCTCTGAACGCCTCGAGCCAGCCGCGGCCCGCCCTCCAGCACTCGTACACCGACCAGCCTGCCCAGAACCGCTACCTGCGCCAGTCGCGCTCCTTCACCTCCAAGATGGACACGACGACGACCCCGCCCTCGACCACCTCGAGCAAGACGAACCGCTACAGCGACGGCAGCGGCGATGCAGCCAAGAAGCGCCTCTCGGGCGGCGCAAAGAAGAAGGGCACCTTTTCCAACTTCATGAGCAGCATGCTGGGCTCGCCGCGCCGCCCGACCATCTCGACGCCCACGAACCCCATGCACGTCACCCACGTCAGCATCGACAACCACACGGGCGAGTACACGGTGGGTAGCCCCTCATTGCTGATATATGTGTGCTAACAGACCAGGGCCTCCCCAAGGAGTGGCAGCGCATGCTCCAGCAGAATGGCATCTCGCAGGAGGAGCAGAAGCAGCACCCCCAGGCTGTCATGGACGTGGTCAACTTCTACAAGGACAATGCCGAGAAGAACGAGGAAGATGCCATCTGGGACAAGATGGGCCCCACGCAGCCTCAGGGATACGCGTACCAGGCCAACATTGTGCCCCAGACTGCAAACTACGGCTCTAACCAGCCCCCGCTCAGTCCCCCGCAGAGCCCGCGATTCCCACGGAACGACCAGTCTAGCTTCGAAAACCCGCGTGCGCCTCCTCCCGTTCCGCGCAGCCTGACCTCCCCCGTCGTTAACTCTCCTCCAGTCAATGTTGCAGCCCTCGTGCCCAGCCGGCCAGCGCCCAAGCCTCCAGGCCCTCCTGCTGGTTCCGCCGCGCCCATGCCAAACAGACCTGCCCCCGCGGCCCCAAGTCCGATCATCACCCAGCACCAGACCCCTCGCTACGAGAACGACTACCCCCAGGCTGCCTATGCCCATCCCACTCCCTCAGAGAGCCCCAATGGCTCTTCTGCAATGTCCCGCACCCGATCCAACACCACGGGAGGAACGCCGCCGCGATTTGATTCCCCAGCCAGTTCGACCCCGATCTCTCCCGCCCAGCAATACCAGCAGCAGCAGCAGCAAGCCATGGCCATGGCAACCACGCAGCAGCCAAAGGCACCTCTAGGGAGGAGCATGAGCCAAAGAGCCCCGCAACCAAACTACGCACCACCTGTAGTCCCTGCGCCGCAGCCGCAGCCGCAGATGCAGATGTCCCAGCCGACGCCCCAGCAGGTCTTTGCCCAGCAATCGGATCCCCAAAACATTCCATTACCATCGCAACAGGCTCGTGTTGGTCCAGCGCCCCGGCCACGTCAAAGGCCGAGGCAGAGTCAGGGACCGGATATCGTGGCCAAGCTCAATGCTATCTGTACCAATGCCGATCCCCGGGAGAGATACCGCAACCTCAGCAAGATCGGTCAGGGTGCTTCTGGTGGTGTCTTCATGGCCTACGAAAACAGCACCAACAAGTGCGTAGCCATCAAGCAGATGAACCTCGAGCAGCAGCCAAAGAAAGACCTGATTATCAACGAGATCTTGGTCATGAAGGACAGCAAGCACAAGAACATTGTAAACTTCATGGACAGCTTTTTGCTACGAGGTGATCTGTGGGTAGTCATGGAGTACATGGAGGGTGGAAGTTTGACGGATGTCGTTACTTTCAATATCATGTCCGAAGGCCAAATAGCTGCTGTGTGCAGAGAGGTGAGTCTTCATGTCCCGCTCGGAGAACGCCGCTAATTTTCCAGACCCTCCACGGCTTGCAACATCTTCACTCCAAGGGCGTTATCCATCGAGACATTAAGTCGGACAATATCCTGCTTTCCCAAGAAGGCAACATCAAGCTCAGTATGTTGAATTCGAAACCGCCACCTCCCATTACGTCTAACACGTTTCACAGCCGACTTCGGTTTCTGCGCGCAAATCAACGAAAGCCACAACAAGCGCACGACCATGGTAGGTACCCCCTACTGGATGGCTCCCGAGGTTGTCACTCGCAAGGAGTACGGCCGAAAGGTTGACATCTGGTCGTTGGGTATCATGTCCATCGAGATGATCGAGGGAGAGCCGCCGTACCTGAATGAAAGTCCACTACGTGCACTGTGGCTCATTGCGACCAACGGCACACCGACGATCAAGGAGGAACATGCCTTGTCGCCAGTGTTCCGTGACTTCTTGGGCTTCTCGCTCAAGGTCGACCCCGACAAGCGAGCTAGTGCTCACGATCTTCTGGTGGTAAGTACATTGTAATTGCTTGTCGTCGATAGTCGCTAACAAGTTGCAGCACCCCTTCATCCAGACCGCTGAACCGCTAGGCACATTAGCGCCACTGGTACAATCGGCGAGGAAAGCAAGGGCAGAAGAGAGGCGGAAGAAGGGTGGTCTGTGAAGTTTCTTATTTCATTATGAATGTCTCTTAACACCGGAACTTAGGTACGGGCAATGCGCAGACCAACGGCCGCGATTCGTCAAACACGAGCACGAATTCGTTCGCCGATTGGTATGGCAAGACGATGGAATTATAGGTGACGAAATGGCGCACAACGATGAACAGACGCACGTGGTGGAGGCTCACAAGTTCGCATATCCAGCCCTAGTGGCAGCTCGAAGCCACCCGCCCCTCATGGTCGTGTCGCGGTACCACCCCCTGCTCGGCAGTCAGTATGCAAAGGTCGAAGCCTCATACTGCTGTTCTACACAACGAGCATTGTCGAGCGAATTAGCAAGCGCGTCATATCCTGTTCAACTGCTCATATTCGCGAGCGCATTATTTATGTTGTTTCAAATACTCCAGTGCCGATGTAGGCATACATCCCATCTCACGATCTGGCAGATTTCTTGGGTTACAGAAGGAAGCGCATCTCTTACGACTATCTCATACAATGTGTGCAATTTTAGTGTCTATACGATTTGGGGTTACAAACTTGGCCGGAGGTGGCAATCTCGGCATATAGAAAAGTGGAATATGAACATTCTTTCTGTGTAACTACAATCGATCAGTATTCAGGGGCGTAGATTGTGATGAGCGTTGACATGTCTTGCTTGGTGAATTTGCGACCCGAGCATTGTGGCTGAGTAAGGGCCGCCACATCGTCGTCATTGGGCGGGGAGCTCTAAGCCCGGTTGCATACGACTGACTGCGACACGAACGACTCTCACTCTCCCTATAACACATAACACGGCCTTTCCCCGAAACTACCCTGACTACCTCGCGCGCATTCGCGATCTATCCGTTCACCCTCCGCCCTTCTCAACTTTACACCTTTACCTCAACTCGCGTATCGACTCCAGGCACCCGCGCCCCCGGAGAGCTCCCCCATACCGAGTCTCAAGACACTTGGAAGCAGGCAGACGTCATGTTTCGCGCGCAATCAAACATCTTCGACGATGTTGTCGTAAAAGCTACGGACGAAAATCTTACGAGCGAGAACTGGGAATACATTTTGGTACGGTCAGCACTCGCGATGCCTTGGGCGGCGGGTTGGGCAGATGTCGCAACATCCGTCCAGCCACAACCATGCGCCTTCACGTTCCAGCATACACAACAGATACTAACTTACCACGCAGGATGTATGCGACAAGGTTGGATCGTCCGACACGGGCGCCAAAGATGCGGTCGCCGCCATGATCAGGCGGTTAGCACACCGAAATGCGAACGTACAACTATACACCCTCGAGCTGGCCAACGCCCTGAGCCAGAACTGTGGGATCCAAATGCACAAGGAGCTTGCTTCACGAAGCTTCACAGAAGCACTGCTGAGGCTTGCCAACGACCGCAACACACATCAGCAGGTCAAGGCCAAGATACTTGAGCGCATGCAAGAGTGGAGCGACATGTTCGCCCGCGACCCCGACCTGGGAATCATGTCTAACGCCTATATGAAGCTGAAATCACAAAGTGAGTTGGGGAGGTAACGATGCCATGTACAACACTGACAGCTCTTAGACCCCAACCTCCGAGCGCCTTCCAAGCCACAGAAGACGCAGATCTCCGACGTCGAACGCCAGAAGGAGGAAGAAGAGCTACAGATGGCGCTTGCCATGTCGATACGAGAGTCCAAGGGCGCAGCGCCGACGGCTGCCAAGTCCAACACGCCTCAGCAGGGCGGATCGACTCCTAGTGCCCAGCCCGAACAGCCTTCGCAACCCCTACCATCAGGCACAACCGCGGCGACCGTCTCACGTGTACGAGCCCTCTTCGACTTCCAACCATCTGAACCCGGTGAACTGCAGTTCCGTAAGGGCGACATTATTGCCGTACTCGAATCTGTTTACAAGGACTGGTGGAAGGGATCGCTGCGCGGGCAGACAGGTATCTTCCCGCTTAACTACGTGGAGAAGCTGCAAGATCCGACGCGTGAGGAGCTCGAGAGGGAGGCACAGAACGAGGCTGAGGTCTTTGCACAAATAAGGAATGTGGAGAAGCTGCTTGCGCTGCTGAGCACAAGCTCACAGCCGGGCGCAGGCGATGCGCGAGATAACGAGGAGATTACTGAGCTCTACCACTCAACACTGGCTATTCGGCCGAAGTTGATCGAGCTTATCGGAAAGTACTCGCAGAAGAAGGGTAGGTCAATCGTAGGAAGCCTTACAATCAGCGCTAACTCCCCTAGATGACTTTACACAGCTGAACGAGAAGTTCATTAAGGCTCGTCGAGACTACGAGTCCATGCTGGAGGCATCCATGTCACAGCCCCAACAACCTGCATACGGCGGCCGTCCTGGATATGGCGCCTACAATGCACCGCCCCCCTCAAACTACCAAGGATACCCACCTGTATCATCTACCCCACACCAAGATCCGGGCCGCTACGCTTATGGTGGAGGACCCCAGCAACATGGGCCTCCTTCCCAAGTACCACCCGTAGGCTCAAGCCCTGCTTTCTTCATGGTTCCCCCGAATGAACGGACACAGCAAACCCCGAAGCCAGGACCGCCATCAGACCCCTACACACTACCTCCAGGTAGAGTACCAGTAGGAGGTCGACCGCAAAGCTACGCACCCCAGGAGCTAGCGACCAGCCAATACGACTCACCAGTAGACAACCGCCACTCTTTCCACGCTCCGAGCCAGCCACCGCAAGGCTACGAGGCAGGCGGCTACCCACCACAGCAAGGCGCTCCCCAAGGCCCACCACAAGGACAGCAAAACCCGTACGAGCAACTCTCATCACCTCCGCCACAGCAAGCCCCACAAGAACAACAGCCTCCGTCAGACCCATACTCGCAACAGCCGCCTCAGCAAGGCTATGGATACCCACCAACACAGCCTGGATATGCACCACCTGCGCCACCTGGCGCCACCTCTAGCCCCGCACCGCCTGCTCAGGGGTACCTTCCATATCGACCTGGAGGACAACAGGCACCCAGCGCGCCGCCGGTCGGTGGAGATGATGCGGCGGGCTTTTACCGTTAGAATCGGTTGTGGGGATCGATTGGCGGGTGAGGGGGTGTGTAGCTGTAGTTGTGTAGTATAACAACAGGTTTACAAATACAAGATACTACCAAGTTGCACACTGGTTCTTCACACGGTTTTGCAGATGACAACGGGTCTTTTATACACACATGTTTCCCCAGTCCTCCCCGGGTTTCAGAATACGATGATATAGCGGCGGTCGTTGGCTGCGCCACGTTGACGTCTTTGTTGGTGTAAGGCTGTTTTTGGTCGTGGGAAGGGGATGCGAGGTGCGAGATGTGTTTGTTGGGTACGGAAGGCAGATTTCCGGTCTTGTCACTATCGAGTATTGAGATTGTATGGCTGTATTGAATACACAGTCATGCAGGGATCCCATTGATATAGCCTGCCTTGAATATTTTGATTCCATGGCAGTGTTGACTTCGTCGACACGTGTTGCACCACTGCGATCATCTCTTTGTTCGGTTGAAGGGACGAGTGGGTCGTTTCTTTATTTTTGCGACGCCGCATCGTGAGACTGTCTCTCGATCATGCCGGATACAGGCGTGGGGCTTTCCATGTGACATGGTATCGGCATCATTCCTTTATGATAACCGGAAGGACATCCGAGTCGTCTCTTTGTCCTTGCGACGCCTCCTTAGAACTTTGTGTCTATTGGTTGGCTGTAATACACAAGCAGGGTGTCAAAGGATATAATAAGAGAAACTACACGTCTTTCACGTTATGCACCTTTGCTTGCCCACGTCCACGTCCACACCCGCGCCCACTCGCAAGGTAGAGTCAGATTAATCCACACCATGCATCTACCCATGGCATTCCTCCCCGCCGCCTTCGCAGCAACAGTCCTATCTGAACCATCCACCCCTCCCACCCCTCCACAAGACACCAACACAACCACCCTCGTCCGCCGCGGCGACCAATGCAACACCGCCCAGCAACACTACCCCGACGTCCCCGAATGGGAAAAAGCCATGCGCCAATTCTGTTCCATCCACGGCAGTAACCCCATCTTCTCCGACAGCGCCACCGTCTTCACCTACACCATCACCGGCCACGACAACAAACCCATTGACTGGATCTTCAAAGTGAACATCGACAACGAATTCGCACACCACTTGTGGAGCTGGATACCGCTCACGCAGGAGTGCCTAGACGGGTTTACGGCGCTGACGAAGGGGGAGGGGGGTGGCGTGGGCAGGAGTTGGTGTTATTGGAAGGCGAGGACGAGTCAGGATGATAGTGTGGGGTTTTTGGGCGGCAAGTGGACGCAGCATTTGCCCAAGGAGAATCAACCGGATGGGTATATTACTTGGGAGAGTCGGGCGAGGAAGGGGCAGAAGGGGATTTGAGGGGACAAGAGAGGGAGGATGTGAGGATAGCAGATTTGAAGAAGGGTTGAAAACGGGGTTCTTGTTACTACTTCGACATTTGTGGTCATATGGGCGGCGGTGTGAAAGTTCTCTTCTTGATTATGCTCTTTTCCTATGCTCTTATTCGAGCTTGCCAGACTCGCCTGGTAAATTGCGGTGTCAATAGTCTATCGGTCAGTCATTTCGATCTTTGTTTGGTAATCCCCAAATACACTCACAGAAACATCGACATATGCTCCGAAGTCAATATTTCATTCGCACGTGGGCGAGACAACCTTGGAAGGATATTCGCGACCTTCATGAATTTGTATTACCCTCATAGCGCCTAGTGCGCGCTGGGATCCGTTTCACCGAAAATCATATCGCAGGCGAATAGTATCCAGTCCGTTGCAATACAGATGAACGAATGCGAGGAGTGGATTGCAATTATCGAAGCGTGTGGAGGTTAGCGGCTCTCCAGGGCTAGGCTCAACGGGATGGATCCATTGGAATTAGTCGGGTGGGGCGGCTTCGCAGGGGTCCAACACCGACCAAAGGGAAGTTCGAGTACCTTCGAGTAGCTTTCTGGCCACCTGTGCTCTCTCTCCCATTGCACTATCGCCTACGACACCTGCAACCGTAGCAGTCGTCTCCACACCAATTGAACCCGCACCGCCCGTCCAGTCACGTTATGGCCTGCTGAGTAACGGCATCAAGACCCTGTAAGCTATTTCCTGGTAAGCTTCGAGTGACAACAGGCCCATCCCACGGTTGCATTACTTGGTACCCGCACTACCGGTAAAGCGCTGCAGCAAGAAAGCGAGGGCTTCTACACTTCGGCTCTTAATTCTCAACCACCCACTAACTCTCCACCCAGAACAAGAAGTACACCGCCCACCGAAATCTCAATCCCAACGTCCACGTCAAGCTGGCTCCACGCTGCTAAGCTGCCCACCCACCGTCCACGCGAACACCCTTTGGTCAACTCGAAACGGTTTATACTCAATCATGGCATCCGAAGCAGTTGCTACCTCTGACGACGGTCTGACCCCGGCGCAGAGGCTCATGCAGAATCATGGCGTCGAAGATCACCATGTCACTGTCGAGGACGTCCCCGACGAGGATGAGCTTGCCCACCCCTCTGCCGAGCTCAGCGAGAAGGCAGCTGGCAAGCAGCCTGCCTCCAAGAAGCCTGCCCTCAACACGTCGTCTGAAGAGGCCTTCCCGGCTCTCGGTCCCGCCAAGCGCACTCAGGCTCCTGTCGCGCCCACCTGGGGCAAGAAGCCTGCCTCGGTCACCTCCAACGGCGTCAATGGCAGCGCGCCTGCCCCATCTGCTCCCAGCCGTGGTCCCGCCCTCCCGTCCATGAACATCCCCGGCAAACACACCGAGCGCATCTCCCTCGCTGCCCACCAGGTCGCCCCTCGCGGTGAGCTGAAGAAGCCCATCAACGAGATCGTCCGCGACATCAACAGGCGCTCCAAGGCCAAGCTCGACTATAAGCAGGGCCAGGGAGCTCTCATCTTCGAGGCCACGGGTCCGGTTGAAGCGGTCAGGCAGGCTCTCAAGGAAGTCGCCAACGAGGTCGGCTCCAAGGTATGTCACCCATCAATTGTACTTTGACTAAACTAACATCTGCCAGCAATCCGTCGATGTCCCCGTCCCCGCCTCCGTTCGCGCCCACATCATCGGCCGTCAAGGTTCCAAGATCCAGGAAATCAGCAAGCGCACCGGTGCCCGCATCCAGGTCCCCAAGGCCGAGCCGGGCGAGGATGAAGATACCGTGGTCAACGTTCACATTGAGGGCAATGCCTTGACTGCTGAGATGGCTCGTCGCGAGATTGATGCCATCGTCAATGAACGCACCTCGACCGTCAACCTGCGTCTGAAGGACATTCCTGCTGAGTTCTATCCTTTCCTCGCAGGTCCCAACAACGTCCACACCGACAGGCTTGTCCAGGGCCGCGACGTCAACATCCAGATCCCGCAGTACCACACTTGGCAGTCCCAGGCACCTCCCCAGGCTACTCGCGGCCAGCCCATCCAGTTCGCTCCCCAGGCCAACTTCCCCATCCAAGTCTCTGGTGACCGCGCCGCTGCACAGCAGATCCAAGCTGAGCTCGAGCGCCGCGCTCAGCAACTCCGTCAGCAGTTGGCCATCGAGCAGCGATCCATCGAACGCGGCAGGCATCAGTTCATCGTTGGTGACCGGGGCCACTCTCTCCATGACTTCTTGGAGGAGACTGGCTGCAGCATTGTCATGCCCCCGAGCTCCGACGACAGCGAGACAGTCTACATTGTCGGCCCGCCCAACAAGATCGAGCAGGGTATCAACAAGCTTGAGGATCTTGCTGCTAGCATGACCATGGCTACTGCGGATGCTGCTCGTGAGCACAAGGGTCCCAACGCACAGGCGCATGCACACAACCTGACTCGCTACCTGCGTCAACGCAAGGCCCTTGCTGACCTTGAGCGCATGCACGAGGCCAGCATCGTCGTACCCACAGACCGTGATGCCCCAACCGGATGGGAAATCTACGCTCGCGACGGAAAGAACAGCATGAAGGCTCGTGGCGACATCATGAGCGTCTTCCAGTCGCACCCTCCTAGCCGTTTCGCAACCATGAACGTCGATCCTTTCTACCACCAGTTCTTGCGTCAGCAGAATGCACCAAAGGTCCGACAGGACCACGGTGTTCATATTGTCTTCCCCGACGAGACCGAGCAATCGCCAGAGTTGATTCTTGTCTACGAGGGTGACGCTCCTTACAGCGAGTACGCCATTCCTCGTGGCCGACCCTCCCCAGCTGAGGTCAAGGCATACCAGCAAGGTCTGCAAGACGCTCAGCGATTCATCATGGGTCTGACTAAAAATCAACCACAAATCGACACTCGTGGCCTTGAGTCCAATCCCAAGTTCCATCGCAAGATCGAGCAGTTCGTCAATGAGCAGCAAGAAGGTCTTACACCCGACCAGGTTCCCGTTCAGGCGCTGTTTGGTCAGCGACGACCGGAGCCTCACAGCCGCTCAAACAACAGCTTCGCCATCCGTGGACCGTCGAGCGCCGTTGATGAGCTCAACAAGAAGATTCTCGCTTTCATCGAGCAAGCTGAGAAGGACGAGCTTGAGCGTAACCACGTCACAACATTCGACTACCCCCAGAAGTACGCCAGCCATCTTGTTGGCAAGGGTGGAGAGAACATTCAGCGTCTGCGCCAGAAGTACGACGTTGATGTTCAGATCAACGACGGTAAGGTCGAGCTGAAGGGACCTTCCGCCAAGGCACAGCAATGCAAGAAGGACATTCTTGACATGGCCAAGAAGCTCGAAGACGAGGCTACACACACATTGAAGGTTGCGCCTCAGTTCCACCGCGACCTGATCGGTGCTGGTGGCAAGCAGGTAGAGCGTCTGCAGGACCGCTACGGTGTACGCATCAACTTCCCCCGCCGAGCACAGAACGACGAGGAGGCAGCAGATGCGTCATCACAGAAGAACGTTCGTTCTGGTCAGAACCAGGATGAAGTCATCATCCGTGGACCCAGGAAGGGTGCCGATGAGGCCCGCGACGAGGTGCTTAGTCTGCTCCAGTACATCAAGGACAACTCCTTCAACGACACTGTTTCGGTCGCTCAGAGCAACATTCCTCGCCTGATTGGATCAGGCGGTCGCGAGATGGAGAACCTCCGCCTCGAGACTGGTTGCCAGATCGACGTCCCCGGCGCGCGTGATGCCGCTGATCCATCCGGCCGCGCGGAAATCAAGCTCAAGGGTACTAAGAAGGCGGTTGAGGAGGCCAAGAAGATCTTGCAGCAGCGTGCCCGCGAGTTTGATGATACCATCGTCGAGACTCTGGATATTGACAGGAAGCACCACAGGAGCCTCATTGGTGGCAGCGGTGCTAACATCCGCTCCATTGTCACCTCAGCTGGCGGACCTGACAACTCGCGCGACTTGGCTCGTATGGTGCGCTTCCCCCGCCCCGAGTCTGATGAGACGACTATCCGTGTTGAGGGTCCCAAAAGTGTGGTCGAGAAAATCGTCGCTGCTTTGAAGGCACAGGCCTCCTCGCTGGAGAACCAGACCACCGAGACCATCGAAGTCTCGCCTGACAAGCACCGTCTGCTTATCGGCCGTGGAGGTGAGACACGCCGCCAACTCGAGTCGCAGCTCAGCATCCAGCTCGACATTCCTAAGCAGACTACCACTGGTGCCGCCCGTAGTCAGGTAAAGATCACCGGTGAGCCTGCTGCCGTTGAGAAGGCCAAGGAGCACATCCTTGAGCTCGTCAAGGGCCAAGAGGGCGAGACCATCCAGGTCCCCCGTCACCTCCACCACGCCATCTCAGACAACGGTCAGTTCTTCAGGCAACTCCGCAACCAGCATAAGGTTACCGTCGACCACGGCGGTGAACAGGTGCCCGCGAAGCCTGCCCAAGCTGAGGCTGGACGCGCTAGGAAGGGTGCTAACGGTGCTCTGCCTTTGATCACCGACGATGCGACTGCCGGTTCCAACGAGCACTCATGGGAGATCGTTGACAACAACGCTGTGGCAGAGGGCACTGATACCTCCGCCACTATCCCCTGGATCCTGCGTGGACCCACTGAGAGCCTTCCCAAGGCCCGTCAAAGGCTTGAGCAGGCTATCGAGGCTGCTTCCAAGCCTTCCGCCACTGGGTACCTGATCCTGCCCGACCCAAGAAGCTACAGGTAAGCTCAAGCGTTCAACACTTTCAATGCTGCAGTCATACTAACACCTCACAGGCTCGTTGTCGGACCCGGTGGTGCCACAATCAACGATCTGCGCAAGAAGACCGGCACAAAGATTCAGGTCCCCCGCGACCAAGCCAAGGATGAGGCTATCGAGATTGTCGGTACCAAGGATGGCTGCGAGGAGGCCCGCCAGATGATTCTCGACATTGTTTCCAAGGGTGGCAACGGTGGTCGTAGGGAGCGTGCTTAGGCATTTTTATGATCATGTTGGGCATGCGATGACATTTACTATCAAAAGCTTTGGGCATATTTCGGGGTTAAGGTGATCTTGTGGGAGCGATGTTCATTCAATATGGGAGAAGCATCTACTACTCATCTTGGACTACCTAAAAGGGGATATGCTTAGCTGTTGTATACAGAAATAAAGCTTCAAGTTCAAATGTTTTCGTTCGTGTAACGACTGCTGGATCCCGTGTTCGCGAAGTATCGTCTTCCTTCGTCCTACTGGATGCTGATAGAAGCAGCTGAGTGATGTCTGATAATTGCGAAAGGATGTCTAGCCAATACTATGATGCTGCCTTCTCTGCCCTTCCCTTCGTCTTCCCATACGCTCCACCAGCCAGCTTCCGCATCTCCAACGCCCTCTTGTACGGTGGCGCAGTAGGCGGCTGTACAGGATCCAGACTAACCCTATCCTTTGGCAAATGATACGTCGCATCCGAATCATACGCCGAGAGATCACCACAAGCCAGAAACGGAGCTATCCACCGCCGACCACCCTCCTCAACATCATCCTCATCGTCCGTCTCATCCCCTAAATCAATCTCAATCGCACCATCCTCCCTGACCCGGCTCGTAACCTTCTTTTCCGGTTTCTTCGCATCTGAAGACGTTGGCTCCTCCCTCACAGGCTCGGGCAACACCGTCCCCGCCCCCAACGGCCTCTCCAAACTCGGCATAAACCCCTCGGGCGGACAAAACCCCTCACAAACCACAAACGCCTCAATACTACTCGCCCGACTACTCCTCGGCTTCGCCACTCTCACACGCTCAAACACGATTTTCAGCTGCGCAAACAGCAGATCTACGTCTTTGCCCCGGAAGATCTTGGCTACGAACTTGCCGCCGGGTTTGAGGACGCATAGGGCGAGGTTGAGGGCGGCCCAGAGGAGTTGCGATTGCACGTAGATGTCGAGGTCGTGTAGGCCGGTTACGTCGGGGGCGCCGTCGGAGATTACGAGGTCGACGGGGGAGGAGCGCGTGGAGGTGGGAAGGACGGGGTCGTAGGTGTCTGGGTCGAGGGCTTTGAGCATGAGGGGGATGGTGGAGGGGTGGGTTATGTCTGCGCGCATGGTTGTTACGCCTTCGAGGGGGGACATGGGTTGCAGGTCGATGGCTACGATGCGGACTCCTTCTCTTGGTGTGAGTTTTGGTGTCTCCTCTACCTTGTTTTCCCCTTCTCCTTCTACACCCTCCTCTTGCTTTCCCTCTTCTTTCTCATTCACCTCCTTCTTCTCCCCACCACCGCCCAAAACATAATCCCGCATATTCTTCTGCTTATCCTGCCATCCTGCTCTCCCAAACTTCTCCCCCTTGATCAGCACGCGCGAGAGAACCTGGCTCCAACTTCCTGGTGCGGCGCAGAGGTCTACGACGCGCGTTACGCCTTCGAAGAGGTTGAATTCTTCGTCTAGTTGCAGCAGTTTGTAGGCGGAGCGGGCGCGCCAGCCTTCTTCTTTGGCGAGGCGGTAGTAGGCGTCTCGTTTGTCTTTTGAGGATTTGCCCATCTTGATGCAAGTCTTGGAATTTCAGCTCCCGGGGTTCTTTTGGTTCTTGAGTGTAGAGTTGGTGGGGTGTATATTTCTCGAAATCCGGATGAAGCGATGTGATCGCTAAGAGGCTTTTGTGAAGATGTGCCGACCACACCAAGATCGATTTTTCCAATGAACTTATTCCTGCTCTTTCTATGTCCTATCCCTGTATACAGGCAGTGCTCATCCAGAGAACGTTAATTGACGTGCGAGTCATTCGCACGTGAAGTGTGGGAAAGCGCAAGTGGGCTAGAACAAAAGTGGGGCGAGCGGACTCCCGAAGGCCGACAAGTTTTCCAAAAAGTTCACGGGCGCGCGCATCCAACCCACGACAAACCTCAATCGCACCACAGCCCACCATGAAGCGCCCCAATCCCGCCCCGAAACAAGCGTCGCATAAGGGTCACAAGCCCAAACGTCAAAAACTCGACGACTTCCCGAAACCTCTTCCCCCGTCCACGAGACCCAAGCGCCGAGTCCAACTCAACGAGCTGGGATGGAAGACCGTGGAGATGCCCGATCGGTTGGAGGATACAGAGGGTTTCTACGGACTTGAAGAGATTGAAGATGTTGAGATTGTGAAGGATCCTGTTACGGGCAATCTTACCTTTGAGACTACAAAGACGGAAGATGAGGTGGCACAGGATGTCGAGGAAGCGTGGCAACGGGAGGAGGACGAGCAAAAACGCTTGGAGCAGATTACCTTTGACGAGGAGAAGGTGGTGGGACAAGACGAGAGTGTAGGGAAGAAACTGCAGGAAGCAGATGAGGAAGTCGCGTGGGAAGGCTTCAGCGATGAGGAAGATGCGCCGGCGGGGATACTGAAGCAGACGAAGGGTGCAGACGCTAAGGATACAGCTGAAGCAAGTGCTACCAATGGCGAGCCGGAGGCCAAGAAATTGACAAAGACTGAGAAGAAGAAAAGGGCGAAGGAAGCAAAGCTTAAGAGGGAGGCAGAGGAAAAGGCCAAGGCAGAGCTGCCGACGCCAGATGAGGTCGAAGAGGAGGAGGATGCCGAGGACGACGAACCCTCCGATATCGAAGACCGCGAAGACGGCGAGACCTTCGGACCTGGCGCTTGGGATATATTGGCGAACCATGCCGATGACGACGATGACGAGACAGATGTGCGCGCATGGGCTAAACTGGATCTCTCCGAAGAGATGCTGGGTGCATTGGCGAAGCTCAAGTTCTCGAAACCTACCAGTATTCAAGCGTCTACTATACCCGAGATCATGTCTGGGCGGGATGTTATCGGCAAGGCTTCGACAGGTTCAGGAAAGACACTCGCTTTCGGCATCCCAATCGTCGAGACGTACCTTGCCGCTCGCTCGACGCCCAAAGACCCCGAGGACAAGGCGCCCATCGCGTTGATCATTGCGCCAACACGTGAACTTGCGCATCAGATTAATGATCATTTGATCGCCCTTTGCGCAAAGGGCGATTTCGACTCCCCGTACATTGCATCCATCACAGGTGGTCTGTCCGTACAAAAGCAGCGCAGGCAACTGGAAAAGGCTGACATTGTTGTCGGAACACCAGGACGACTTTGGGAGGTCATGAGCAGCGGCTCAGGAGTGCTACCCAAGTTCAAGCAAATCAAGTTCCTGGTTGTAGACGAGGCTGATCGTCTATTGAGTCAAGGACACTTCAAGGAAATGGGAGAGATTCTCAAAGTCCTAGAGCCCGATGACGAGCCTAACGAGAAAGACGATATTGAGGAAGCGCCGGAATCTCAACGGCAAACTCTTGTGTTTTCTGCCACTTTCGGAAAGGAGCTGCAGCACAAGCTCGCTGGAAAGCAGAAGTATGGTGGTGGAGATCTCATGAATCAACAACAATCGATGGAGTATCTACTCAAGAAACTTCAGTTCCGCGAGGAGAAGCCAATGTTCATCGATGCCAACCCGACTTCGCAGATGGCAAGTAGACTGCAGGAAGGTCTCATTGAATGCGCAGGACCTGAGAAGGATCTGTATCTGTACTCGCTACTAATGTTCTACACCAAGAAGCGCGCTCTTGTCTTCACCAACTCAATCTCGGCAGTACGTCGTATCACGCCATTCCTGACGAATCTGGCTCTGCCAGCTCTACCCCTACACTCCAACATGCCCCAGAAAGCCCGATTACGCTCCATCGAACGTTTCAAAGAGCGACCCGGATCCATCCTAGTAGCCACAGACGTCGCCGCCAGAGGTCTCGACATACCCAAGATAGACCTAGTCATCCACTACCACCTCCCCCGCGCCGCCGACACCTACGTCCACCGCTCCGGCCGCACCGCCCGAGCCGACGCATCCGGAGCCAGCATCCTCATCTGCGCCCCCGAAGAAGTCGGCGGCGTCCGTCGCCTCGTCGCCAAAGTGCACGCCCGCGCCAGCGACGCCCCCAAATCAAAGAAAACCGCCTTCTTCATCCGCACCCTAGACATCGACCGCCGCATCGTCTCCCGCCTAAAGCCTCGCGCCACCATCTCCAAACGCCTCGCCGACACCGTCATCGCGAAGGAAAAGAAACACAGCGAAGACGATGTACTCCGCCGCGCAGCTGAGGATCTGGGTGTGGACTACGATAGCGAGGAGTTTGAGAAGGAAGCGCCCGGGAAACGCGGGAGGGGTAGTGGCCGTAAGAAGAAGGAGAAGGAGGCGAGTGAGATGACGAAAGGAGAGATGCAGGCTCTTAGAGCGGAATTGAAGCATTTGCTTAGTCAGAGGATTAATACGGGGGTTAGTGCGAGATATCTTACTAGTGGCGGTATTGATGTTGATGCGCTTATGGCTGGGGAGGGGAATATGGAGTTTTTGGGTAATTTGGATGGGCTGGGGTTTGATGAGGTTGTCGAATAGTCATGTCGTAGAGGATGATCAATTGTACGCAAGTCTTAGCGACCGGTTTCACGAACCTTCTAGGCTTTGTTTGGCTTTCGAGATAATAGACTGCGGGATTGCGAAACGCAAACCGGGGAGCGCTTTGTGGGTTATGTCCGCACAAACACTGCATTAGTATATTGTCTCCGTCGTTCCGCGACTGTTCGTAGCTCATCATACAGAACGGTGTCATTTGGTAGTCTTCTTCATGTCTTCAACTGCAATTATGGACTCAGATAATCAGACCCAGCCAAGGGACGATGACAGAGCGACAAGAGACGAGTCCTCCGCCACGGATACCGACGTCCCAACCACCACGGAAGTGCCTCTAAAGTCACAGTTTGCTGGCTACATCACGCTTGAGTATCTCCAAAGCATGTTTGTGCAGTTCACAATATGGGCACCCGTCATCTACACCTTACTCCACTTCCGCGCCAATTTCTTCACCAGCGATGTCCTCTTGAGCGCTCTGGCTTCTGCACTATTCCTGCCAAACATGTTCATCTGCATCCTCGCCATCACAATCGAGTACCTGCAAAAAACCATTGACGCACAGAAGAGAACTCTAAGAGAAAATGCGGATACGGCGAAGGCATTACAAGACGAGAAGAAGGCTTTATCGGAGGAGCTCTCTGGGTGCATCCAAGCAAGAGAAGAAGCACATAGCAGGCATCGACAACGCATCAACGAAGCCCGTCTCAGGCACTACACATCTCTCCACAAGCACCAAAGCAGCACCATCAGTTTCCTAGAACATCTATCCAGAACCCACACCAAGACCCCCAACTCTCCAGCGCTGAATATCCCGTTCGATAAGGTCTACATGATGCGATCAAGAACACAAACGCGACTGAACATAGCGGAGAGTATGGAGAAGATCCTGTACTCGAAGACTTTACGCGCGTTGAGAGACGAGGGAGCTGATGGCTTTATCCGCGAGGCAGAGAGTGATCTGGAGAAGGCGGCGGTGGTAGATGGTTATCTGATGCATTTGGAGGATCTGGTGAAGAATCCTGCTGCTCCTGCTAGGGTCGATTCTGGGTTGGAAGTGAGGTTGAATGGGCATAGGGAGAGGCTGGAGAGGTATTGTGAGGGGGATTGGAGGGTTAGGAATCATTTGAGGAAGGTGGATAAGGATGAAGAGCAAGAGTAGGTAGAGGATTAGGACCAGAGCATATGTGGTGCACGCGTAGGTAGAGGAGCGTCGGGATGTCATATGTGTGAGAGCGTTTTGTGCGCTCTACTTGTCATAGCAACTGTTTCTCATGAAGTTGCGCATCCAGTAGCGGATGTTTTCCTACAAGCGCCTGGCAGTTGACACCCAGTCGCAGTTTCCCGAGATACGATGGCGTTTTCTTTCTCGCAAGTCCCCCTGGGCAAACTACGTGGGGTCATGTAACGTGGTTGCCTGATTGATGGGTAGGATGTCAACAACAAACAGCAAATGACGTAGTATAATCCGTCCCACCCTATCGCCTATATGAAGAGGTATTCTGTCGTAGCCAGTGATCTTTCGAATAATGCTACCACACCACGAGTCATCCCAAGGAAAGATAGCGATGGCAACGAGCGCAATGTCTACACCTGCCCCATGTTCAAACCCGAAGACGCTTGCCATGGACCCCAACATCAACAAAGACACGCTCACCTCGGAAGATGATGAGACGCTTCAAAAGATCGAGAATGCGATGATGGACGAGCTCGATCAGGTCCTGCGCAGACTTGCTAACACATCGCCGCATAAACGACGCTACTTCTCGCCAGGTGCGTTGTTACTTCTTGTTCTCTACACACTGATCCACGTTGTGTTCATCCAGCCCGCATCTTCGCTCCTAAGTCGCCAATTCCTCATTCCCATCATCTTCATGGTATTCATAGAAGTCACCTCCGAGGCCTATCTGGAACGGATAGTAGGATCGTACGAGAAGATCGTTGACAGAATGAGAGACTTGGCCCGGCTTTCACTCAACATGGCACATACCTGTGAGAAAGCGCTGCAAGAGGCCGAGGAAGCGTCCGACCAAACCGCGGCGTACAGGACGACCTTTTTCCGCGCCTTCCACCAAAAACTAAATGAAATGCGTCTGGAATACTATCAAGCATACCTGGATCACTACGGAACTCTGATCAATTACGCCGAACTCATTACCAAGAAGGCGAAGACCATGGCTGCGCCGCCTAAAGTCAAAGGCGCGAAGAGGAACTGCGGCAACCGCACCAAGAACGATAACAACGCTCTTACGGAGTCTCTGGAGAACTTTACTGTCGCGCTCAAACAGCGGCAGTCTACGGCGAGGCTACAGATTGCAGTAGCGGAGAAGATCAAGGACATACTCGATCGCGAGGGCTTGTTACCGGAGGAAATTGATCGACTAGTGGATGAGGCGGAAGAGGATGTTGAGCGTGCGCAGGAGGCATCGAACTTTCAGACTCTATCACCGGGCTCCAGTACGTCCAACTCCATCGCATCGCCATTACCGGTCGCTGGGAGCGTTGATAGCAAGCTGGAGAAGCATTTCGAGGACTTGGATAGGTGGTTCCAGAGTGTGCGGGATCGGCCTGTTGTCGCAGATGAGAGCTGAGGAGGAGCATGTTGCGGAAGATCGTGGCTACAGTGGGATCGGTCGAGCTGCAGGGGAAGTGGATGGGGATGATGGACTAGAGGCTACGTGCACTGATCCTGAGTATGTGTCCCCCTGCGGCCTATCCTGAATGCGATTTCAGTGAAGAAAACATGGCATATGTCCCTTCTTATCTCTCCCCACGGCTGCGTGACAGGAATTCGCGATTGATGCTGTGTGCTGTATTCGTGACAGGCCATGTCCCGAAACGACGCGCTGGTAGGTGCATTTGACGTCTTAGTAATCGATGACGTAATCACCTGGGCGCTCACCTGGGTGCGCGCGCCCAGCTCTCGGAATCAAAGCAATACCATCCTTTTCAGCAGATCTCTCCAGGGTACCTAATCCATCTTCTGTAGCGACATGATCGTCTTCGAAGACACGAAAATGCGAGTGTAAGGGAAGCAGAAATGACGTTATCTCGCTCTTACACTGCTAAATTCGCGCCTGCGACGCGACACTGTGGATCGTCAGAAGCTGCTGAAAAGCCAACATTCGATCAGGCAAACCAGCCTTGCCTTCTCCACGACAATGATCATATTTGGCGCCGCCGTTGCGCAGATGGTAGTCTACCTGGGCTGCATCTCGACCGCCACCTCCTCAGCTGCGCTCAGCCTTGCGGGACCATGCGCGCCACGAGGAACAACTCACTTTTGCACAGCCCGACGACCACGATATAGCCATCCTTCATAGCAAGCGGAACTTAAATCCCTGGCTTGTTGCAATATCTTGCGTTGCTGCGTTGCAGATAGGCGGCGTTCACAGTTCGTTGCCTCTTTGGTTTGTGTCAGCAAGAGCTCGATCCGCGCAGGAGGTCGCCAGCGTTCGCGTCGCGTTCTCGAAAATGCTTTTAAGGTAGGAATATACATTGTGTTAATGACTGATTACTTATTAAGACTCGGATGTATGTATGCGACAAGAGTTTTAGCCACCTCTGGTGTCCGTCAAAGCTTTGTTCAGCCTCGTGTTCTCGCTACACGAAGTTGGGTTGGTAGCTTTTCTATTCGTCGAATCTTCACCGATCGCCCTGCGATGACTTGCTCTTGCATGTATTACGCATAAGCCGAGGGGTTGTATTTTCAGCCTGATGTGCGCTCAACTGTGTACTTAACGATCTCTTCTCGCTCTTTTATCGAAGCTTTCCTACCTCGCACACATTGTAGCAACGGTCGAACATACTGCGATGACAGCAGTAGATCATCTCCCATGGCGGTACGATCACTGGAAGAGACACCCAGAGAAGTTGGTTCCGCGGGATGAGTACGTGATAGTGTCGATACGTGAGACCAGCGTGAGTCTATGTACAAGAGATCTACTTTGACAAGGCTAAGCTTACATAGGACGGGGTCAGATTTACTCAGTATCTAGTGCGCGACAGTGATATACCAGCGCTGTGTGAGCAAACAGCCGAACCAACCATGGATACAAAATGGGCTCTTGAACTGTTAGTATGCTTAGTCACGGCATCTTGTACTCTACTAACTTATCGTAAGCCTTATAACTGCCTGTCCCGAAAGTTTTTCCGAGCACGGCTTGGTTCCGTATTCGATTGACAGTGTTGTTGCTCTGCACTCATACTGGCATATCCCATATAGCTACATCCCTTCATTCGGCTTAACCGTAGAGTTATCGATGGCGTTCTCCCCTCTACTGCATGACTCCAACTGGAAGGGTAAATTGACTTCGACGGCAATGCCTACACGTCTGACGGGAACTGACAAATCATTGCAGGGTTTTTTCAAGGCCTAGGAGGTGTAATTACGACCACCTACAATAGCGCCACACGTCAGACATTTGCATTATGCCTTGGGAAGGACGATCTTGACCGCATCGTGACACGCGTTCAGCAAGCTCAGAATTTTGCGTCCAACCCATTCCTAACTTCGGTAATTCTACTGTCCATCAACGAACAACCTGTTCGAAACATGGGAATACAAATATCCAGAGATTGTCGAGAGATGGAAGCTACAATGGGCTACGACAGTGAAGATGACGAAATTGACTTGGACCGAATGCCAGAGAGCTCGCAAATACCTCAGCGCCTAAACCGTCTCTTGTCTAGAGTTGCAAACCTTGAGTATATCAATTACTTGATGTTGACTGCACAGAACCGCTTGGAAAGCCAGATCGAAAGGTTGCCTGGTGAACATTGCCTCAGTACATGTAAGGAATTACGAGAGCAGCTGGTATACACACAGGAAAGTCTGGAAAATATAAGCTCTCTCGCTAAAAGAAGTAAGGATTTACTTCAAGCCATGGTGCAGACGGTACGTATCATACATTAAAAAGTCCGAAAGTAGTACGCTCACGATTACAGGTAAACGCGAAGCTTCAGCAGCAAGGTATGACAATGGCAAATGACCTGCACGTAAAGTACACACTGACCTCGTATCTTCACCTTCACAGACAACCAATTGAATCATCGATACGGCGCCGATATGCGACTCATCACGGCGATCACTCTCATCTTCCTGCCCGGAACATTTGTCGCAACGTTTTTCAGTACTACGTTCTGGGACTTTTCTCCCGACAATAACGGCACGAAGGTGACATATTGGGTGTATCTGTACTTCGTGGTTACGATAGGTCTGACCCTGTTGGTGCTTGTTGTATGGAGGAGATTCATTGCGCTTAAGCGACTGACGACGAAGATAGCAAGATTGGGGCGCCGATTCCCTTTATTAGGAAGGCTGATACGAGAGAAGAAGGTGAATGATGAAGAGTCGGGAAAGAAAGGTGACTGAGGCATATCTCATATGATTTTTGATTAGATTCTTCTAGCCCATATAGCCGAATAAGCATGTGTTGAACGTTGATGACCATGTCGTTCTGATAGAGCGGATGAGGCAAATCTCAACCATGGTACAGTCATCTCGCTAGTTCAGTGTTGTTTGCCCGAGCAAAAGTCGTCTCGCTCAATTTCTCATTGCACTCAACACATAACGAAACAAAATATCGAGAATCTACCGCTATCAGCGCAACACAATGGTTTCCGTATGTCCAGAAAAGGTCAAGTTGGATTTGCTGCTACATACTGCCGTGGACCACGTGAAAGCGCAGGGTGTTGGTATCGGCATCTTACAGCAGGCTAGATGCGCAAAAATGGGCGCCTTGATGCCAGGACTACTGCCTACCGAAGAGCGTAGATACGGCATTACACGCGCAAACTTTCCGACCGAAAACGTCAAGACACGCGAAAGAGCTGAGCTACTTGCTATATTACACGCTCTCGGTCTGGCTTCCAGCACGATCAAGAAACGATGTCCGCCAGATGTCAAACTGCGGACTATACAGATCTTTTGCGAACATCCGTCGGTTATATATACTGTCAAGCATCACCTTCTGTATTCCCCAGCGAGCCTCGAAGACGAAGTGAGTGGAAACGACCGCGCCATGATCAAGAGAGTTGTCCAAGCCATTCAAAAACTCGAGAGAAGATCTTATAAGGTCTTCTTAACAATCGCAAACATGGAAGACGACGCGCAAAAGAAGGTAGGCTTGGCAGCAAGACAACGAGGCAGGTTCGCGTGTC